GCTCCTTTTTGCGGATGATGTCCAGGTGACGGCGGATGCGGGGATCCTCGCGGGCAAACCGCTCGACCTCGGCATCTGAAAGTTGTCGTCCAAGCCTTGAATCAAGCTCACGCGGGAAATTATAGTAAAACTCAGATAGGAGCTCGACGTTGAGGAATAGCACGGCCGTGGATGTAAGTTTATCTGCCACAACATCTAGGAACACCTCTGGGCAATAGTACTTGTTCTTCTGTGTTGCGCATTGCTTGGACCGGACAGCGAGAAGTCTCATCTTGATAAGATCCGCTCGGTCTCGGAGGAAGAGACCTTCTCGTCCTAGATAATACATGTCAGTGTCTGTAAATAAACGAAGGAGAGAAATACCAACCTCTCGCCAACAAGGCAGCACTGAAGCCACCCGCACCGCCTTCGCCGTTGCCCTCTAGTACTACTTCGCCCTTTCGCACTCGGTCGATAAACGCGACAACGTCTTGGAGTTTTCGCTTTCCAACCGTGTCTTCCACATGCTTCAGGGCCGACTCGCACGATTTGAGCTCTTCCTTTAGAACTTTGCCCGCGTTATCTCTGCCTTTAGCCCATTCAGGATCTTCGATCTCAATCTCAAATTTATATGGCTTGATGCAATTTTCGACTTGATCGCTGGTGCTGAAAAACTTGTCATTCAAAATACCGGTGCATGCATCGGTGATCTGTTTGCGGGCACCAGGGTGGGAGGCGAACGTAGAGGAGGCTAAAAGCGAGTCCACATGATTGTTGAGGGCATTGGCGACAACTGTCGTAGCCAACCGACCAATTCCAAGCTTTGTTAATGAAGAAGTAGAAGCATCAAGCTTCCGGTGCCAATATAGGGACTCAGCATCGGCTTTTGGAAGATCCTTGAGAGGATCTAATTCCAGCAGCGGAGGATCTAAGTCCTCGACTGGCTTGTTCCAGTAACGCTGTGCCAGAATGTCCATGACTCGCTGATCCAACTCTGCCTTAAGCATCTCCCGAACCTGCGGTCGCCCGAAACTTTCCGCGAATGCCTTGAAGGAGTGCTTGAAAGCATCGAGGCTCTCAGCCAAGTGGGACTCCGCGCTCAAAGGCCGATCATTATATTGAACCTTGAACTCATAGGTTGTCTCTTCAAGCTCTTGGCTAATGGCGTCTCTGGTTCCAGACAGGCTAGATGACATGGTCTGCTCAAGAACCTGCATCAGTGTTTTCCGTAATGTCGAAACACCGACTGAGACGTCAGAGTGGGGACCGAATTCATTTTGATGCGCAGAGAAGTAGGCATGTTCATTTTTGAGAATGGCGCTAGTAATGTTTCCAGGGCCTCTAGAAAAGAGAGCTGTTGTTTGAGGAATCCTGGTAACAACACCCACGTAACCTAGCCGGAGGGGGTATTTTTTATCGGAAAGGACATCGTGGCCACGTTCGGGGCTGACAAGGTCCATCTTCGTAATCACACCGATAGTCCGTTCACCCCGAGGGTCTACTCGACGACTGGCTCGAAGTGCTGTCGAGTTCGCTAGGTCAACGTCGGCAGCCGAGATCGCCAAAATGACATTTGGTGGCTGAATGTACCTATCGCAAAGATCAACAATCTTTTGCTTGAGCTCTGGGGGCTGATCTCGGCCCGCAACCTGAATATATCCGGGCAGGTCGATCAAAGACAGATCCGGAACATTGGGAGAATATATCGTAAGCTGAATGGGATCGTCTGTGACACAATCCTTTTCGGGAACGGCAAGGTTCAGGTCCGTGAGTGTGCGCTGAACTTGAGAAAAATCCGTGATCTTTCCGAGACCCAGAGCCGGGAATTCACCATATTCTGCCTGGGCGTTAGGGGTGTTGACCAATGTGAGCTCGATTGGCCGCCGGGTCACCATGTTCGAGCCCTTGGGCAAGAACTCATGGCCGACGATAGCCTCAAGAACAGAACTTTTGCCCGACGATTGGGATCCAATCACGACAATCGACGGAAGAGTGAGCGTGCCGGACTGGCCGATGGTCTGGAGAATATTCCGGATTTCAATCATTTTGCGTGTGAGCAGCATCATTTGGTCATCCTCCGCAACATCTCTCTCCGGTCGCAAATCTCCCTCCCCCGATTGAGCGTATCCAAATGCCGCAGTAGTAGCAGCGGCGGCGGCAGCAGTACCAGCCCGACTTTGTTTCGGCTCTTTGCCTCCACCACCAGACGAGTCACCATTTCTCGACTCGGACTCCTCGTCGAAACGTAGGACCTTCTGCAGCCAGTCAGGCATTTCGATGTTTCCGGTCGTCTTATTCCACCCGCGTTGTGTCTGATCAGCCATGCCCTGTAGCCCTTGGAACAAGGTCGAAGCTGTATTCCCCGCTGTGTCCGAGGCTTGCCTGAAGACATCCATCACATAGTTACCGGCCTCTGGAAGATTGAATCAGCCTGAGCTTCTGCTTGCAGTGAGCTTGATACACGAGATACATACGAGTTGCTTGGTATTGAAAATAAGCTAGACCCGCGATTGTTGCACCGCCGAACATAGCCGGAATCCTGAAAAGCTTCAATGCAAGCTTCGGAAGCATTCGAGCAAATGAGATTGATCGAACAGCAGGGACATTGTGGATGGCATTTGCACCCACTGGCCATGCTCGTCCTCTGAGAGCAGCGCCACCATCTGCGCGTAGCAGGCCTCCGGTCCTCGAGCCTGCATTATGGATATGGCGAGCTAGTTGACCGTTCCGCAAGAGCGGTCCTAGCCGATGGGAGAGTATCCTCCCACTCATTATTGTTGTAATATCATTCAATAGAAAATGGATATGAAAGTGATGGCCTTACCGGATCACTGCACATGTGACATCAAGCCTAACTTACAGTCCCCGTGACCTGCGCAAGTAGCCGCGTAGCTTCCCGTAGCTTCCAGTAATACCACCGTCACGTGAAATATGACGTGCTGTGCAAGGGAAGTGAGTTTGCTCTTTTGTGTTGATTTGATAAAAACAATCTTTCCTCTTCGTGATCTCTAGCAAAAATAAAGCTCAAATATCTTGCTTTTTTGGCTGTAAGATCGCGGGTGACGTTTGGGCATCTCACCGGTTCCCAACAGTCGGTGACTCTTCTTCCGCCCCGACCCTCCTCATACATCCTTTGACACCAGTACGGCCTTGTTCAGACTACAAATTTGGCTTACACCTTGAAGCTACTAGTAAATTTGGAAGTGGAATTTGATACAGTGTCATTTCCACCGCATTGAATCCAGGCCAAACATGTGTCGATTCCTGGTAAGGTCCATCCCTCCAAGCATTGGGCCCGAAGCTAATATCTCGATTAGATTTACAAAGGGCGAAATGAGATCCGTCTCAGTAAGCTGATAACCGAGCCAAGTCATTCAATCCTCACTCAATCATATGATTCACGCCTGAGACTGGTAAGTACCCACATAATTAGCATATCGCAACACGCTGACATGTAATATCAAGGACAATCGCCGTCCTGTCAACGGTGACGGGTTTGGTGTGGGCTTCTACACAGACCCCAAGCTTGGACCAGAACCTTGCATCTTTACTTCAACACTGCCGGCCTGGAATTGTGAGAATCTAGAGCGACTCGCTTCCAAAACATGCTCAAACCTGATTTTTGCGCATGTACGCGCAACAACCGAGGGTTCTCTTGCCGAAAACAATTGCCACCCGTTCCAGCACCAGTCCTTGATGTGGATGCACAATGGCGGTATCGGTGGGTGGAGCTACATCAAGCGTACGCTGGGAAGCTCACTCGCCGACAAGTGGTACCTGGGTGTGAAAGGTGGCACCGACAGTGAGTGGGCATTCGCCCTCTTCCTTGACTTGCTTGAAAAGGAAGGAGTGGATCCAAGCTCTGACCCCGGCCCTGAGGGATTCGGGCAGGCTCTCCTACGTCGTGTTTTGATGAAGACCATTGCCAGAATCAATGAAATGGTCAAAGAAATTCCAAAGAAATATAATGTCACCGGAGTGGAGACTCGGAGTTTGTTGAACTTTGCTGTGACCGATGGCCATACTGTTGTTTGCACTCGATACATCAGCAGCAAAACAGATGAGCCTGCCAGCTTGTATTTCTCTTCTGGTACTAAGTGGAAGGAAGGTGAAACGAAAGGACACTTCAAGATGGAGCGACACGATAAAGGTGCTGATATTGTCCTCGTGGCTAGTGAGCCAATCACATTTGAACGACGTGAGAACCCTTTCTCTCTCTCTATGCCTATGAACATATGCTAATTTTATACGTAGACAATTGGGTGTCAGTCCCAACAAATTCAGTTGTCACAATTCACAAGCAGACTGTTATGCTTCACCCAATTCTTGATGAATTCTATGGCGAAAACCTCAACCACGACCGATCTTCCTGCTTTGCTGTATCCAAGGGACTTGTTAGCACCGCTCCTGGGACAACCGTTCGACCAACGAATACGCAGGAGTCTTGCGCCCCTTCAGCAACTTGCAATGCTATCGGAAACACCAACAGTGGTATGGAAAGCTTACGATCTGGTCATGTTACCGAATGTGCCGTGTCGTACTAAATTCGGCATCGAGCCGATCATTCTTGGAGTCTACTGTGAGGTTCAGCCAGAGACTTCAAAGCACTGTCTTAATATGGCGTTGGAAAGATGAATATGCCGGGATATCTGAGTCAAATTGGAGTTTATGAGTTGGAATGTAAGCGTTTGGGGTTGTGTGGTCTTTCGGGTTATATAATTTGCAGAATTCGAATGTAAAATGAATGTCAAATTGAATTTGGAGAAGTATTAACTACTCAGCCAAGAGTAGACCACATGGTATTCATACAATTGGAACTCTGAATCCATGATTCCGGTTTGTTTGTATATATATAACACCCGGTCACGTGGTTACGTATCATGACGTAACTTAAAATCAAAGTCCACAGGTGGACCTAACTAACTAGTCAGGAAGACCGAGTCAGGCATCATCTGCTTGGTTAAATTACTCCCTAACTCTCTATGTCTATTTCATGAACATGGTTGTCTGAGAATCTTAAAATGAGGAAGACTTTACTACTCGTCTTTATTCACGGTTTCAAGGTATGCAAAATGCCTGCTTGTTGAAGACCTGGTCCCCGCAAAGAATTACAGATTTCAGCCCAACAAGATTTGTTTTTTTGACCTAGAACTTACGTTGACTGATAAAATCCAATTCTAGGGCGGCGATGATACTTTTGGCACGTTCCCTGAGTATTTGCGCGTTTTCGCAAGCAGAGCACTTCCTGCGGTCGAGGTCGCCACTGCTGTCTACCCCAAGTATGAGACTAAAGGTGACTTGAAAGAGTGCGTGGCAAGATTGCGAGATTGGTAAGACTATGCTCAGCTCCTCTTGTGAACACATACAGGTTTTACTTACGACGATATCTCTTCTGTGTAGGTTACAAGATACTGTGATTGATCTTGAAGTAGCCAGCCATACGGCATCACCCACCGTTGATCCCTCGGTCCATGTCGTTCTGATCGGTCACTCAATGGGAGGAATAGTAGGAGCAGATGTTCTCCTTTTGCTAGCAGCGGAACAACCAATTCCTCGAAATACGCAGCCAGGGTTAAATGGCATCGAATCTATCGTGGAACCGGGTACTTTCATGTTCCCTCATATACAAGGAGTGCTTGCATTTGATACCCCATTCTTGGGCATAGCGCCAGGAGTTCTGTCATATGGCGCAGAAGGACACTATCGTACTGCTGCAACCGCCTACAATACCTTCTCCGAGGTAGCAGGTCTGTTCGGTTACGGTGGGAACAATGCATCAAACCAGGGGACCACCCATGCATCCCCGAAAGAGTCCCCCAAAATGTCGCCTTCCACACCCGACGCCGCCGCGACACCTTCCTGGCAACGATGGGGTAAATATGCCATGTTCGCTGGCGCGGCTGGTGCTGTTGCCGCTGGCGGCGCAGCCTTATATACGCAACGCCAGAAGCTCACTGACGGGTTTGGATGGGTATCATCGCACCTCGAGTTTGTTGGTTGTCTCGCGCGCACGTCGGAATTGCACGAGCGTCTCCTGCGATTGTCAAGTCTCAAGGAGGAACGTGGCATCGGATGTGTGAACTTCTACACATGCCTCGGAAAAAATGCGACTAGTCTTGTGGAAAAAACATCAGCAAACAAAACATCCTTCAGCCAGAAAATCATTAGGTCGAGGAACAGGACCTTCTGTTCATTGCCAGCAGAGGTGGAACGTGGCGAGGGATCTCAAAGTCCAGGACTTTTGTGGACCAGGGCAGTTAATGACCAGGCTACTGACGAAACAAACGCACATATTACCATGTTTCTGTCCAAAGAGAATCCTGCATTTTTTGAAATGCTCAGGGAAGCGTGTGCGGTCTTGGTCAAGTCGATAGACAAAGGCTGGTATGATTCGTCCACCGAACCGCCCAAGAAAGACGATATCAAGCAACCACATGCAACAGAGGGCACAAAAACCAAAACAGACGGGGACTTCATGGATGGCGATGACGTTGTTGTCGTTGACTGAGATCTGAGATCTGAGATCGCAAACTCTAATTCGACCCACAAATCCCCCAGTTTTCGTTACCATAGACGTTCTACAAGAACTCTACTCCGTACCTATCGGACTTCCCCTGGTCGGCATACCACTTACTTAGACTTCGCGTGCACTGCACCCTAGCGCACAGCGAACTACATGCAAAAGATTCGATCACCATATCGAGATTTACCTCCACAGGCAAAACTCGCAATGGGCCTTGATCGTCGCGCAAAGTCCAGAACAAGGCGGTGCGGTCGTATTCACTCCGCTTCGACTTTCTGAGCAGTCATACCCGAAGTTTTCTCAGTGGACGTTTTCTTCGTTTGGGAACATGGCAGTGCTGATCCTGTGTCCTACTTGTTCCACTCTCTGAACGATTGTCTGCCTACTCCGAAGCGATCACACCCTTGAACTGGTATGACGTGGTCCCGAGATGTTGGGGATTTGCCCGGGCCGTTTTGCATTATTATAACGCATGGTAACACTTCAAAGTTTTCTCTTGCGATTCACATTAGTCTATAGCTTCTTGTTATGTAGCCTATCCCTGAGGGTCTGACGCCTAGACGGTTTGCTGAGGGGTGATGGACGTCAACTTCTTTCCAAACAAACTTGTCGCTAGGTCGAAATAGAACTCTCAATTCTCGTATATTGTTTCAATCACTAGTGGTAAATTGCGTACAGTTTTCTCTATGTCAACACTTGATCGGAAGAGCAAAAAGCAAAAATATCTTCCTTTTATTGTACCCCTACGATAATTGATAATCATCCATGTAATTAGTATATGACGATGTAACTTATACCCTTGCTAGAAAGAATGCCCTAGCGCGCCGATATGGTGGAAGCATTTGGATAGCCGCGAAAAAATATATAAATGAGATATCATGAAGTCAATAGTCACATATACAGCGCTTGAATGAAAGAAGAAAGGAGCGATGAAAACAAGAAAGAAAAACACAAGGAGGTAAGGAAGAAGGGTCAATAATTATGATGACCGTACGTTGAAGAGCGATGGTGGTACAGGCTGCCCGCATACTCGGAGTTATTGTCGGGGTAGACCGTAGCTCGGCGCTCTTCCTCGGATAGAAGTTCCTTAACCTCCCAAGTGTTTGGCTTGACACCGACGGAGAATTCCAGATCCTCCTTGGTAATCGAGTCCCAAAACTAAAGAAAGTTAGCAGGACCAACGCCATAGGCGTGAAACGTGAACTTACCTTGTAGACCATCATGACTGCGAGGAGATTGCAGAATGTAGCAAAGAAAAGGCCGTCCAAGTAATGCTGCACGTTGTTGCAGATAACGTCACTGAATGCATACAATATAACCTGGCCAATGATGAAGACGAACACGCCGAACGAGATATGGCCTAGTGGCCAGCGGTCATCCAATGTGTTCGCAACTAGGAGCAATTGCATGATCAAATACACAGCGATGGAGATGGCGTTCAGCAAGTAGAGCACCACGAACAAGCCAGTGGTATTCTTGGGACCCATCGAACCCCATGACTTGAAAGTCGCCAGCGAAATCAGAAACGAAAGAGCGAACATCGCTGCGGAGGGGACTCGGATCAACCAAACGGAGAGGGCTGTGCCGTCTTCGTACAGCTGAAAGCCGACGAACCCGTTGACGAGAAGACAGGTGCATAGCGCGGATATCAAACCGTTCTGAACAGCCACGAAGTACGGGAACGGGCCACTTCCTGGAGGAACGACACCTGCATCAATAAGAAGCGAGAAAAGTGTCAGAGCTAGGTAGATGTAGAAGAAGGTGACGATCTCTTTACGGCCTATTTGTAGTGAAAATGTCAGCTAGTTTGCGCCGAATGTGAGTGAGGAGGATGCCAGACGAACCGACGGCAGTAAACTTAGATCGAACGTGCAAAATCATGATCACTGTCATGCTAAGCGCCATGATATGCATAAAGGACGCGGCGCCCTCGAATATAATGGTATTCGCAACCTCAATATTCCGCGCATAGCAGTTAGATATGATGCCAGTTGACCCGGAAATTGTCGATGCCGGGCCCACCAAGGAGCACAAAGGCACGGGCGCCTTCTCGCATATCGTGTCGAACTGACCGAACCCCATGATGTCTGGTCACTAGGATATTGAGTAGTGCGACAACAAACAGTTCAAGTTCCAGTCGCGGCGGGTCACGAATGTTGAGTGGACGGTCTCCACAACGACGGGGGTGGGATGGTGGAGGAGATGACGGTATGTGCCTCGGTCCCCAATAACAGCGTGGCTCTTTCTGCACCCCAGCTGCACTATTTAAATCGGCTGATGCCCGCTGACAGCCAATGTCGAAGGTCAGATCACCCCTGTGTGAATCGTTGATGCGAGGGGAAGTGTCTCAGTTTTCGCTTTCAAGATCACGGGATTGGAATCGCCTTTGTAGGTTTAGCGTCGTTGCTAGGGTGGCCCCGGGGCGGAACCTGGCTTAGTCATTCGGAGATCGGAAACGCTAGATCCAAAATGGAATAGCTCGAAGAGATCTCATGTGACTCGGGTCCGAACTCGGCCCAAGCCGAACTACCACGCTAGTTATGTCAATTATACATTAAGGGGTCAGGGCACAATAACACACCATCCAACCCAATTTAGAAAGTCGACTAGGGACCGTTGGGACTATCCGCATACTGCAAGCTATCTTATCTACTTTTTCGGTCTCCACAAGCCGTTGGACTTATGTGATCAAGACGATTTGGTGCTGGTCATGATTATTGGACTGTAGTCTACGGAGTCAAAGTTGGGGTTAGATGGGGTTTGTATTGGGCAGTTCACCTTTTTCCTTTCTCTTTCTCTTGTTATTGAATTAGACTTCCTCTGTATGTGGACTGACCTCTTGTCTCCACACGACCCTACAACTGGGGCATTGTCGCACCATCGTCTACTTTGAGACTAGGGTTTACCAATCCGAGGCCTCACAGTCATCTGTTCGCCAGACCAGCTCCCAGTTAGGTGATTGTCTCTATGAATGGATACAACGACGCAATCCTGCAGATGGGATGGCTTGATCTTGATCCGAGTGAATGGTACATTTTGCCACGGACAAATATCGCCTATGCAGATTGCCTGATAATCGGCTTCCGAGTCTTCGGAAGCGATTAAAATGAAAGGTATCCATTGCATCAGGTTTCATCTATAGGGCATGGGTTGAGATCAAGTAACCTTGTATCGATCCCCCTTTTCTTTTGACTTTTGAATTCTAGCGTATAGATGTCATAATGCGGCGGAAAGCCGTTTTCTATATAAGCTCCCCGATCTTTTTGATGCCATCAACGCTACTACACTGATTTGTCAATCTGCTTAGAACACTTTATAGCATTCCTCAGGTGTTTTGTTTCATGTATACCACTCATAGTCTGATTGTCGAACAGTCTTTGCAACATTATATGACTATCAAATGTGGGTAAGTCCCGTCGATCCTCATGTGGCACAGAGGCTCAGACGCAAAGCTCCCTTTTTGATAAGAAATAAACAAAGAAAATAAATTATCGGAGCTTATCACCGGCTCCGACTGCCCAACTCGTCCTTTCTCCGGTTTTCCAACAGGCCCAATCTTGCACAATGTTATACTATCGACACCAGACTATCTCCCAACAAGAGAAATCCTCCGTGTTCGCCTGACCCCTGGCTAGAGAGAAAAAAAAACCAGAATAAGCAGTGCCAAGGTGTTTGACAATTTGGCTTAAGGTCTCGAGATTTAAGAGACTGCCGAAGATATTTGTCTCATGCATGAAGATCCCGACTAGCGCCACGTGTGAATTTAAGAAGCATCAACGGCTGCGAGGAACCGTGTCGATCTCCCATCTACCCGATATTTGCGATGTTCGTTCTCGCTTCCTGACAGTCCCCTAAACAGAATATTAAAAGGAAACCAAAACAAAGCAAAAACGCTAGAAGAATTCCTCTCAACGGTCATACAAGTTAAAGCCTCTCTTTATGCAGGACCCGCTTTCTTGACAAGGGTTTTAGGGGGTGGAGATGGTGGAGAGAATGCCGTGCAGTACTCAGTACTGTATACTACATCTTTACCCATCCTTTAGGGATCGAAGGTAAATTTCGTTTGAATATCTTGGGTTTTCCATTAATTTTATTTAATTTTCGGATTTTTATCCTTTTACTTTATTTTATTTTATCCTGTTTATTTATTGCCATGCCCTTGGGCGTCATGACATCCACCCTCCAAAGCAAACTAGTGACTCTTATATCTAGTCGAGCCTCCATCTATATTTTTCCGATTTCCTACACCTTCAAGATTGATATCTCATCCCTCACAGTTCAATCTATTACACAGTGTTGATTCTTTTCATTCCATTTACTATCTCCCCGGTCATACTTCCATCGCAGCTGGCCAGTTTCACAGATCAAAACCCCCCTCGATGGGATCGAAATGTGCAACTTTTTCAAAAACTTTTACATATATTCCACTTGCTCCAATCCTGCCGCCCACTTCCTCCGCACCGAAATGGAGGGGACAAAAGACAATAGCACTTGCAAAGACAGTCCACACGACCGATTCATTGTGGTGGTGGGCAAATGTGTACTCTGCTCGTCTGCTCGATGATTGCCTACCATCATTCGATACTTCGGGCCTCAGGGTACTCGAAATAAAAATTTCACCTCTGAAACTCGGTCAAGGGCATTTTCTAAAGTTTACCATCCCGCTTCCTCCTGTCCGTGGTCCTTGGCATGCAAGACTCCATCCAGGAACTATGTATTCGGGGAGAGCCGACCCTCCACCGATAAACGCGGCTTTCTGAAAAACATTCAACCCTTCTCTACGTGACTATGATCGACAAATTTATAAAATTCGGCTTCTTTGATTTGGATTTGTGGGGCAAACCGTGCCGGTTTAAACTTTGCTTCGCGGTCGACGCGTTCTCCGATACTTTGTATTATTGGCTTTTGAAGCGTTCATGTCGTCCCGTTTCATTGTATCTCTTTTTCCCTATTGTCTTTGTTAGCGTCTGGTACCTTGTTTGGGAGTCTGGTGGGTTTCATATATGAAACTTAGACGAGTGAACCTTCTGATTTTTCAGGCTTTGATTCCCCGATTTGGAGGGTTTGCCCTAACTATGGTTCACTTCAATGCCTTGGTATGATCCGAGAGCTCTTTGCTTCTAATGGACAGGGAGCTGGAAAAAAATGTATTGTACAAGTACTCAACCAATTTTCAATTGGTCCCTAAATCACATGCTTGTTGGAATGCTCATGCACGCGGAACGGATATATTTTCTGCGACTTCTCTGACTGGTTCCCAACAACGTTCGGGCCCAACCGCTCACAGATAGGTAATGCAATCCGTTCAATCTAACTCTCTAGGGGCCACATGCGCGACGTGGTTGATCTCTCTTCCATCACATTCCGCCATGTCTAGGCCAGGGGCAAAAGGGGGTGTCCTAACACAGTGCGGAAAGACAACCGCGCACAAGTAAAATGACAACAACCAAGTGACTAGAGAGAGATTAAGGTACCTATGCCGTAAAATGAGCATCGAATGGAGGACTCCTATAGTTCCTGTAGTAGGGTCACTATCTACGAATTCCCCCTCGAGCAGCTTCGGCTGGTCCGCTTACACAAGGGTTGAATTTTCTCCCCGATCGAGTCCGTGCTTTTCCATGATAGGATGGACGGAAACATGAAGGATTGGAATCAGGTTTTCCCATCTGTTGAGCCATACTACAGGGCATCATCCATGGAACTAGGGACACCCAACACAGAGCGAAGACCACGCAATCTCTGCTTCGGAAGTACCGATTGAAGAAGTAGAGATCAGATATAGTACACAGCCCTCCCCTTGCAGGGATGTTATAGTCTCGTTCTAGCCATTTGTGTTCTTTGCCTAAGTTAGCTTACTCTTGTCATTTATACTTGCGTCAATTTCACCATACTTTCGCCTTACAGCCCCGTTATTTTCCCCCCTGGAACTATATTATAAGTCCATGCACGATGCCACGTGTAATCTTTGTAAGGGACCTGGGGCAAGGGTTAAATATAGGTAGAGGGGTGAACATTCATACCCCAAGACCCCAAGACCCCGAGAAGCTATTGGCTCGTTCTCCCTGGGAAACACATCCATGGGCACATAAGAGCTTGGGGCTTTCGTACCCGAATAACCCGAGGTGTGGATCCACGGCTGATAGATGCCCTTCCGAAACAGCCTTGGGGGGGACCGGCGGTCCACGCGTCCGTCCACGGGTGGTGTAGCTGAATCAGTGGAGTGAAACTAGGATGCATCCATGGATCGTCTATTGCAATTATTTGGAACCCCACGGAGTAATTTCCTGGTCGAACTACGGAGTAAATATACGGAGTAGTACTCCGTACTCCGTAGTACAATTGAATTCATCGAGAAAGCCCTGGAATCTGCTCAGGTGAAAATGTGCTCAGTCTGTTTCACACGTGCATATTTCCCAAATTCTCTTTCCTATTAGCGCTAGTTCGAGATTTTCCGGAAATGAACCGACTATTAGAGTTTCCGTTGGCTTTTTTTTTTTCTCTCTTCCACGCTAAGACTGCGGATTCCTCTATCTGGACTGTGTTCTGCTAGGCCACTGCGTTGTCCTGTAATCCATACATACAATATGTATTAACTATTTGCTTGGCTTCCGTCAATTAACACAGAAAATAGCTAAGGCGTTGGCGGTGAATGAGCTTGTGCGCCGTCCGTGCAATAATAAGCTGTGATACCAATATCATTGCGTATATAGGGAGGAGTACAACGTAATTTATACACTCACAGAAAGCCAAGTCTTGTTATTTGTTGTACCACCCCTGAAGATTATAGTTAGGAACTATGCCGACGGCTGAATCGGGTAAGTGGCACGGATAATGATCTATGGATCAAGGTCAAGGTGGTTTGTATACAATCTACTTCATATTTATTCCCTTTTTTTGTCAGGGTTTTTTTATTCGCCGAGCCTATAATTTATATTACGGCTCTATCCCTAATTCAAAATTAAAGGTATGATGTACACGGTCCCTCAAAAGACCAATGTCTAGAACGTTATGCTCAACGCCTTTCTGCTAGGCTAACGTGGCTTGCTTTTTCACATGTTCATGAATACTAAACACCAATTGATTACCATAGCTTAATAGTTCAACAACCGCGGCGGAAATAACCACGAGGAGATGATAGCCATGATTGTGATACGCGACATGTCTATAATTTCCACGATTGAGCTACCGACAGGGGTCTCATCCTTTTGGGGGGAGGGGGGGAATGCGCATCTAGACCTGTATGGCTCATTAGCCTCTAGAAAAACCGTCGACTCGGATGAATATCAATCTCCAAAATAGAATATTAGAACAGGTCGCACGCCCTTGTTCTTGCTTTATTTGCTCTTGCCGGATACAGGAGCGACGAACTGAGTTGGGCTGGAAACCATGCGATTCGTTTATCGCTGAATATTTTTAATCGGAACGCTTTTTCCCCTAATAAAACACTAATCTTATTTCCTCCGATAGGGGTTTCTGATATTTTCTTGATTTTATTTGTATGTTGTATGGTTCCCTTCTATGATCGTGTTGTTCTATTCAATTAGACTAGCTCGTGGATATGAGGCTTAGCATGCGAATCCAACGAGAGGATGTCCTCGAAGAATCAATTGAGTAAAAATTGGTGATTGATGTCCAAAAAGCCCACTTCTCCAGCCTATGTATGTCCCCGGTCATAATCCACGCACCACGTGCGACTTCACGTTTTACACTATGGACGAGATATCTGAGCCTTGTTAGGCATAATATCAACTTCGGCAACCCAAGAAACGTGGCCAGATTTAATAACAGACACAAAATAGCCAAAGATTATGGCATTAACAACTGTTCGTGTGCACATCGAGTTTTTAAGGTTGAGTCCTGAAGCCACAACCGGTTACATACCGGGTTGTGCCTGAGCTAGATCATGAATACCAGAGCAAAGTGATTTGTCGGCAGTAAGGACGAGTCCCGGCATTTCTACCAATCCAAACTAGCTAAAACATCTCGTTTCTTTGCTGAGATGGTAGGCAATATCCAACCGCGTATAAGCGTATAACAAGAGCACAATACAACAAAATCCCAAACAGCATGCAGAACAGCCCAATCAAACCACTTTTCACCCAAACCTTCACCCCAATCCCGAGCCCCTAGAAACGCACCTCAGGCCGAATAACAAGCCTCTTGTGCACATATGGCGGAGGAAGAGTAGTATATCTCACGCAAGGCTTGCACGGGAGTTTTTCTTTCGAGGAAAATGGCAAACTTGGGAGATCGCCAAGATGTAGACTCAGAATCGACGAGGCTCTCTTCCGATCAAAGATTCCTGATTTAGAGCCTAGTGTCGAGGCTGAGGGAGTTGGTGTATGGCCTGGCGTATGCTGTGGCAAGCAGGAGACTGTTATCAGACTCCGAAGATGGTAGAATGATTCTTCCTCTTCCTCCTCCTCCTCCTCCTCTTTTTCTTCTGGTTGTTCCAGCTTAAGTTCGGGTGCTGCTGATGGGGGCTCTGCTATGGCGGCAGCCACTGATGATAGGGCGCTATTGCTCGATGTGTTGCTCACGGTAGCTGCAAGAGCAGCTAATTGATTGATGATTTGGTCTGCTTCGTCGTGGTGTCGTGTTGTAGTCATGATTATCCCAGTTTGATGAGGTTCTTTATCTTGGGATTTGAGTTCTTGGGACGTAGTTGGGGAAGTGGAAGATTTGTTCGTGTCTGATCTTCGTCGTCGGGTCCATAGATTTCTTAGCAGAAGGAGAAACATGGTAACGATTAAAGAAACCACTTAAAAAGAGATGTCAGCTTGTCCAGTGTCTAGATATGTCCTCGGAGTACGCACAGTTCAAGCGACTAATCAATATTGAATTTATCAGTTATCCAAAATCCTTCAAATCTTTAACTAGAGATCCGATGTTTAAAATCTAGGGTTCCCTTCTAAACCTCAGATATATATGTCCTCGGTCAACGCACGAGCTTGATACAATGAAGGGATTCAACGAGCAAGACTCCGACCAGTCGGTGCAATACAAACCAGACTGGATCTGAAACACCACCCAGAATCCGGGATGATCAGATATTTCCCGGAAGACTAGGCCGTTAGAACTTCATGAATATGACTGGATGAGCTTAAAATGTGGATTCGGAGACTAGTACTGCCCCTCTCGTTTAGGTGCATCAATATAAACAGATCAACATGCAAGCATCCTACCGTACGGAAAGACCCTACCGAAGAGTTGATAGATCATTCCCCAAATTGGAGTGTTGCAAACGGATAGATTAGTGCGGATGTGTATCCCGTAGATCACTATGGCACCACATTGCCACAAATATTAGATTCGAGTAGGTTCGAGCTATCTTGCCCCGTTTGTGGATTGAGAGATGGGTGGGTCGGATCGTTAGGGCTGGTTTATAACGGGGCCGGAGTTAAGATTACCAGGGCAAATTAAACCATCAAATTAAAGGATATGTGTCCATATTCTTCGAATGTCATTGCGGACCGGTCTATGACATACTTCGAATTTGGCCATGGACCGAAATCGTAATATGACCTAAGCATGCAAGCCGAGTCATAGAAGCAAAAGCAAAAGCAAAGGCAACAGAATCACTCCGTCCTCGGATCCCGGACCATGCAGTACAACTACCAACAATCAAAGTCAGCAACAACCCAAACAGATACGAGCCCCACAAGCAAACACTACCAAACAAGTACAATGTACATACCATGCAAGCATCCACCCCATCCCGACACTCCATCTCCTTACTCATGTGAAAGCCCATACGCTCATAGATCGCCACATTAGGCACATTCTTCGAGCTCTCGAGGTAACACTTGATTCCCTCCTCATCCGCCCGTTTCGTAACAGCCTCAAACAACAATCTCCCGATACCCATCCCCTGCGCCTTAGGACTAACAGCGACAATATTACAGAAATAGTACCCGCGCGGATCATCCCAGATAGAAGCCTGCGCCTCAGCCTGCCGCTGTTTCCAGATCCAGTACCTGTTCGTGCGCAGCCCGCCGCGGCCAAAGTACCGGATGTTGTTGAGCATCTGGCTGAAGGATAGGGCCCATGATTGGAACCAGGAGTACCAGCTCTCTGGTTGCGCGGCAGGGTGGGGCGCTAGCCAGCAAGAGACCCCGAGGATTGGGGCTGGGGTTAGTGTGGTGCTGTGGGATTTGGAGTCGGTCTCTTGGGTTTCTTTTGCAACGTAGAAGAGTGCATTCTTGATTCCCCAATGGCAGCGTGCTGCGAGAGAATCGTAGTTTCTTTGCTTGTTGAACTATACGTGGAGTTATCTCTCAGGAGACGTAACTGCCGGCCAAGTTGACCGCGTCACGAGAGAGATGTATGTTAGTCTGATAATAAGGAGTGGATATATGTCTTTCTTCTTTTGCTTTTGGTAGCGATTCTCAACGCGCGACGTACCTTGGATGAATCGAAGGCCCACTTGAAATAAGGGTCGTCTGCAAATGCCTGCTGGATTATCTCAATAACACCGGGGATATCAGTCTCGGTAAGAGGCAAGACTTCAACAGCCATAATGGCGGCTTGGGAACTCTGTATGGCGGGTAGATGACCACAATTTAGGCAAATCGGAAGAGATAATTGAAGGAGACAAAGAAAAAGCAAGTCATGGCAGTTGGGGAACCAGACAACCTCGGGAATGTGGAGAGAGTTGGATGCGCCTTATCGCTGACACATCAGTTCTTATCTCTAGCCCTGAAGGGCTCCAGTGCCAGTTTTTATGAGAGTCGGGATTTCCTGGAAAGGTTTGATAGGTTTAATACTTGAGATCATTATTCAGTTTATCACATGTATCCATATAAGGTATCTGACTAAATGACCCATTTCGCCTTTTGTCCCCGATCAACCTCGGGGAATGAAAGTCCAGTATCAACACCAGCCAAAAAGTATAGCCGTTCATACATGAATCATAAACAAAGTGCTATTAAATGGAAAGAATATAAATCCAAATATAACCCAGAGAAGAGAAAGAGAAGAAGAAGAGCCCAAACTCAGATCTGAAGAATAGATAGCATAGCTGGAAAACATGTGCCTGACACCAATCCCAATATGAACATTAGCGTAAATTCATGATTCAGACCTCGTGACAGCTTTCTTCCTTTTTTAGAAAAAATTAAGAATAGCAGTATTACTGGAAATAGTCTTCGAGTCGCACCCATTCGCGGGGCACGTCCATGCTGCGGTTGACGCGTCCACCCGGCGTGAGGGGTACATCGACGCGGCCACGACCGCGGTCATCGTCTTCATGCTCTTCATAGAACGATAAACGGGAGAAATAATCCTCGAGAACGGCCTCCCGGTCGTCCCCGACAATGGTATCGTATTCTGGAGGTGGGGTGACAAGCGGTGGCGCGGGAGGGACGTCCTCGAAAGCGGGGGGTGCGTAGGAGGGCGCACGGAGCAGATGCATTGGGCGAGGTAGGGTAGGTGTGTTGCGGTCGTTTGGTGGTGTTGCAAGATGTGCTTGTGGAGGCCGGGCGAGACCGCCAGAATCGTTGGTGAAGCTGCGGGAGAAGTTGTGGCCTGTTGAGCCGCGGCGAACGATGGTTCCTGGTGTGGGGCGGCTGTCTTCACGATCGGATGATGTCGCTGGGGCGATGACTTGCTCTCGAGGTGCAGGAGGTGCGCCGGGGCATCCGCATTCGAATTCTTGGGCTGGGGAAACGGGTACTTCGGCTGGGGTTGTGTAGGCTGGTAGGTAGATGTTGGCCTGCGTGGCCTTGCAGGAGAGGATGTGGAATGGCGAGTCTATGGAGATTTCGAAATGTCTTCGTTTGGTGGGGTCTCTTTCGTCGATCTTCGAAAGACGGAGGACAATCTGCGTGGATCGATTAGTATCATTATAACCAAAGAAAGAGGAAAGACTTGACATACTTTGATCCAGTGGTTGATCTGAATGTTTTCGTATGTGGTATCGAAATGCAGCCGCTGACCCTCGTCCCTGCCCTTCATTTCGTGGCAACTTGGCAATTGCACGTTGAATTCCATCTCAGTTGGACCGACACCAGAATCATTCGACAGATTGCCTAGCAGATTCGTCCGATTCCGATCCACAACCTCATCCCCCCTTGCAGCAGCAGCGCGGTGGTCCCAGTCGATACCGCCGCCTGCAGTGACACGCATGGAGCTGCCAGGATACGTGCTGACACTAGACGAGTCTGCTCGTTTTTCGAAAAGCAACACCTTCTTCGCTGGTTGCAACCGGTGCACGCTCTTGTCTGCTGTCCAGTGCTGAATGTTCTCCGTCACAAAGACCTTGATTCGGTGGCACTCTACTTTCGCTAGCGGAGTTAACTTGAACGCAATTGGGATCTGTGAGCCCAGCGGGAAGGACTTCCCCGAGATGACGATGTCGTAGTGAAGTTGGTCTTCCCAGTTCCGCGAAATCGCAATCGGCTCGACTTGCTCCAATGAACCCTCGGCAGGGGTACGGATCACAGGGATTTCCATGGTACCGAGGAGATTTGGTCGGAATGCGCCTGATCGTTCCACCATTGCTTCTAGGTCGTATCTCACAGAGCCCAGATCCGTTTTGATTGTCTCTGGCAATGATCCGTCGATTGGAAACTCGAAGCTGTATAAATAATCGCCTACGGGGAACATGCGGTAATTTCGCTGTGGCTGGGGTTGCGAAGTCGGAGGTTCGTTCTTGCTGAAGCTGCGTGAATGTCCGTGGTTGGCTTGTAGAGAAAGACGTTTGACTTCGCGGGGTGTTGGTAGGGCGAGTGAGGCGGTAGAATTGCGATTGGAGAATATATGTAGTTCTCGAGTTGTCATCGTCACTCCCTCCTTGCCTGGTACGGACGACACCGGTTTGGCATGCTGATAGTAATGTGCGCCATAGTCATTCTGCATGAGCGCGGTGTCACCGTGATTGAAATAGACCACACCATGTGTGACGAGATCTTTCTTATCATGGAAGTGGATCTTCCTAGGAGGAATACCTGAACAATGTTAGCTCATGTTCAGGTACAATTTGATGCTGTAGATTCTCACCATCTGGCCAATCGGTTTGGGCATGGCCACGGAAGCAGATCGAGATCTTCTTGATCTTGACACATTTGGTAATCTTCAAATGCATTTGCCCCCGCAGAATTGCAGACTTTTTACTGCTTGGGTCTTGCTGATCATAACCCTGCAAGAAAAGAACGGGTTCTGTGAGGGCAATCCCGACAGAAATGCCACTCCCAGTGGCTACAATCTTCTCATTTCGCAAGGGAGTAAATGGGGTGGTAGAATCGGTATTCACGGTATGGGGTTCATGTACTGAGCGAGGCAGCACCTCGGTGGACGATGAATCCGATCGCATCTCGTCCTCCAAGTCGACCGATATCGGCGACAATATAATCTCCGAAACTGGTCGTACACTAAGACGTTGCGAAGGCGCCTGAACTCCAGACGACCGCAAGCGAAGGAATCGCTTTGCGTTCTCACGTGGGCGCGCCAGCTTTTTGAAGATTGAGTCCCGACGACTCCGTTTAGGGATCTGATTTTCAATACAAACCGTGTGGCGACGAGGCGAGCGAGTGATGAGATTGGAAATTGATACTCCTAGCGATGGAGTTCCTGTGAACTCCGAGGGCCGAGTGGGGTTGCTAGAAGCCGACCGAGAAGATAACTGCGCTGGCAGAGGAAGGATATTAGCACCCATCATGATGTTATTTGTCTGCTGAGCATCGCCGAATAATTCCCAAAATTGTACGTATATCCCTTGGATACGCTTGTCGCCAAATTGGGCAAAACACAAGCCTGGTCTTCCAACAAGAAAGGGAATACAAAAGTGCAGGGAATGTGTTAGACAGATTCAACATACCTTGGATCTTTAATCTTGTGAGACGATGTTTTCTTTTTTTTTTCGTCCCTTGAATCCTTTCACGCAAGGAGACTGATCTTTGTAGGAGGATGGAATTCTCGGGGGTGCTGACTTCATAAGCAATCCTCCACTCTGATCATCGTGCAGATCTCTATTTCGACGTGTAGGATTGGCTGTTATAGTGCGGAATTGTGGCTCCTTTTCCCTTTTCCCTTTTTCCTTGATCTCTATGACTCCGCTCACAAGGCGTATGTGGCGTCGTATGTGATTGAAAAAGGTCCGTGAATATAGTTAGAAAGGCGAACTACTTAAACTAAAAAGAGTCCTGATCCACGGAAGCGAAAAGAAGAACCTGAAAAGCAAAATATAAGGTGCCAGAGGAGCAGCATAAATCCGAACTCGATGACAACACCATTGAGAAAGCCGGGGGGAGAGACGGAGCCTGGTCTCATATCCGGCGATCCGGGCCATACGTCTCTACCATCTACGGTTTACGGATTTTGCTCGGCATTTCTGTCAATATTTGTGGAGAAACATTCCATTGGGGTCTAGAGTTATAAATGCCTCGGATCTCACGGCCTATACAAACGGCTTCACGGATTCACGGCATAGGGCAGTGCTAGCGCCCAGCTCTTGGATATCTTGGCCTTGTTGATCTACATAACAACTTAGAAAACTGCATCTTTAGTTGCGCTTTAATCACTCTTTTTATGACTTTATTTGATACGTTTAGGACTTTACACCAGATCCCATGGATTTTGAAACCATAACAAATATGATATGAACCTAGACCTTTGCATTTCTTAAATCCTCGTATATCATCCTCCGCATGACTTACTTATGATTTCCGTACATGGCTAGTTACTCCGAAGTTGACTAACTACCTAGTTAGTTAGTTAGTTAGTTACAGTAACTCGTTCAGGGCCTGATTTTCAAGGTTCACTGCACGGCTTACACAGCTTAGGGCTTAGGTGGAATGTGAATGGTCGGAAGATAGACCCCGATAAAGATGGTGATCAGTTCTAGTTCGTCACCATCACCTATGTGCTGTACATCGTAGGCACATCAGACTATTATACTAAATACTACTGGCGTGACGACATGTCCATCTTACGATAATGACCTCATCCGCCACCTTATGCCTAGACTCTACTCCGTACATATATAATCGTATAGAGCAGATCTATTTCGGGAAGCAAATGCCTTCGTTCTCTCTGGGGTGATCGCCCTGTGGACTTCTCTGCCCTGATTTACTTCCCCACGAGCCGCGTCGATCTTGAACTACGTCACTAGACGTATAGACTACATAGTATATTTAGTGGCCTAGGGATCTCTTCCCACAACTATCTTGTAAGCACGTATTTTCCTAGAACCCAAATCAGGCACAGGGAAACACGGTCCCGATTCAAATGTCCTGTCGCACAACGAGCTCTGCTTCACCACTGGAAGGGTTCATGCGTTCGGTGGAGGCTGTCTAGGAGCTGTGGGCCTGGATCATGGTGGTTTCACTATCTTCTTTCGAAGTGTCAGAACTTTCCTTATTTTTTAAAAAAGGTCAAAAGACATTGATTCTCCATGAATCATACTCCTAAGAGCTATTAGCTAATAATTGCCGTATGTATCATTAATGTTCCACAGCAGCTACCCAGTCAGGGGGAGCCTTGAACCTGAGTAACAACAGATCCACGTACCTAGTTCATAA